CTTTCAAATACATGTATTGCCGTTTTATCAAACACACAAGCAGTGCTACTAACGACATCTCTCTAATGGGCGGAAACTTATTCCCATACCTAATATATCGTCTCACATGTACATATGATAAATATTTCAGTGAACATATTCACTGCGCGATGAAAATATTCCTGAATATTCCTATATAGGAATATATTCAGTGAATATATTCCTGCGATGGAAATAGCCGTTTGTTACGATGTTATTGATAGAACGATATATCATTCTAACAATAACATCGTAACGGCTATTTCCATCGCAGGATCCGTGTCGATTGAAACAGAGCTAAATTATTGACTTTATGTTTTTTATCAAACGTTTATAACTTTCACAAATTTAATATTTAATAATGTTTTGCAGACGTGATGTTTGTGAGAAAAGTGCTTGCGGGAGCATCGCTACATGCTCAGTGCTTCGTAAGAATTATAAAGCGGAACGTCATTTATAATACACGAATTAATTTTGATTCAAAGCAATTGGATAGATACCGCTAAAATAAAACAGACGCCTCTTAAATTACCAATTTATAAGATAGTTACTGCAAAAATGTCTTTGCTTAAGAATTCTACTTTCATGAACGTTATGAATATCTTCAATTCCATTAGAAATATAAATAAAGAAAATTCTATTGCGGAAAAAGATAGTGAACAGAAAGTGAACAAAATAAAATCAGAGCTACATCGAGATTTATTTTGGATGTTGAGAATATTGATAATGTTCTTCAAGCTTATCGGTCTCGCTACATTCGCCCACGGAATCGTTACATACAAAAAGAGACGGTCATACTCATTTCAATATTCCAAATTAGGAATCATTTACAATGTTGTGCTGAGTAGCTTAATGATAGCTTCGAATTATATATCTATACCACTCAGACTTAATTGGAATTATAAGATCAAGACGAATGTGACTGTAGGCATCGCGGTTATACAAACTGTACTTGGTGCCCTGGTGATGTGTGTGATTTTGATTAGCTACTGTATCAACCAGAAGTCCTTGGTGCGGATCGCCAATCGATTAATCACCATCGAGCACGAGATAGATCGTCTGTATGATCTATATCATCCGCTACGACGACAGCGTATCTTCTGCATTATGATCATCGTTTGCATCTTGAAGATTTGCCTTCTGATACTTCTCCTGTTCATTAAGATTCTGATCGCTCAAACAAGTTCAGTCTCATTGCTGATAGACATTCTGCCGACATTTCACGTGGGTTGGCTACTGATACAGTACTTCCTGTTGATGACGATCATTCAGACAGATTTCGCTGATGTGAATCGAGCGATACAAAGCCTTACCAGGTTCAATGCAACTGATCTTCGACTGCAGTCGCTCTATCAAACGAGTCGTATCGTAATCGACAATTCGACCGTTCATCAACTGTTGCAACTGCGAGATGTGCATTGTCATCTCTGTGAAATCTCTGAGGATTTGTCAAGTTTCTATTCACTGCCAGTACTATTCGGCATCGTTTTTCTCTTTCTGTCACTCACATACAATGGTTACTATCTTCTCACACTTCTGTTTATGACTGATGATATCTTTAAATTTGAGATTTTTCGTAATACTATCCTCTGGATAATTTTTCGAATTTATCCCATCTTTCTCCTCACCAACAGAATTACCAGGATTTTAATCGAGGTAGAATGATCAATATAATGAGATCGTATTTTAATCAGATTGTTTCAATCGATGAAAGAAAATATTTTTGTCATTAAATAAAAACCCAAATATTTTACGAAATATTTAAATTATAAATTTATTGTATAGATGGAGAAATCGGGCAGTATAGTGCATAATCTTTTAAACCGTGCAATCGGACAAGAGACAAGAGCAGAGGTAAAAACCAAAGTTAGATGACACTTTCTCAAAAACGGTACTCATCGTAACGATATTTATCATAGATATGTTTCAGCTCAAGAAATTTTCGCTTCAAATACTACATCGCAAAATACAGTTCACAGCTAACGGATATTTTACGCTCGATAATACTTTTCTTTATTCGGTGAGAATATTTAGAATGTAAGGAATGTAATACAAATTAAATTTTTTAAACTAATAGTTTTGATTATTTCTCTCAGCTAACTGGCACAGTGGTGACATATTTGGTAATAATTA